ACGCCCCAGCGTGTGTCTGGCCCAGATTCGGTGGCAGGGCTACGAAGTCACTGATGAGCCAGGCGCTTGATGGAGGAGGTAAGGATGGCGGCACAGGGGTGTCTTCAAGGCAGGAGGATAGAAAGGTGGGGTACCCTCCCTTAACACCAAGGTTAAGATCCCAGCTCCTCAGCCAGACAGCCTGGTTTCCAGTTACAGTTCTACTATCTTGCAACTATGTGACCTTGGCCAAGTTACTTAACCTCTCTGAGTCTCAGTTTCCCCATCAGTGGTTTAATAACACAGCCTCCCTTATGGGGTTTTCAGGAGAAGTCAGTGAAATGATACACATAAAGTATTTGGCATAGTGCCCAGCACAGCAGAGGAGCTCAAGAAATGGCAGCCATTGTGATTTGTATAATTTGAATTATTTCTCCAGACACCATCCAGTCACTTTTTAAGGGCCTTTACTTCATGGTGAGCTCCCAAGAACAGAAAATGTGTCTTATCGATCTCTGTATCCCCTTTGTCTGACCCAGGACTTGGCCCCTAGTGGGTGCTCGAGGAAATGTTTGTTGCATGAATAAACGAAGAAAAAATAAAACCAAGCCATATGGCTGACTTCTAATCTCAAGGTATCTTCCCTAGATGAGCTACTTAAAATATCTTTTAATGCATGGATAGGCTTGTGGGAAAGTGAAGAAAACCTTCAGGAGTCAGAAAGGACAAGAGATGCAATTCAAGAGAAGCAAGCCAGCGTTTCCCTGGGGCCATCTGGTCAACCCAAGGCCTGGCCTCTAACACACTGTGGTGGGAGGACGGGAGACCAAGTCTGAGCCTGTGCAAGGAGGGAGGTCAAGTTTGCCAGCCCGGCGTAAAGTGAGATGCCTCCAGAGGAGAAGCCTACCCTGGCACTGGTGGGAAGGGGAAAACGGGGGAAGAAAGCTCCCTCTGTGCGAATTCTTACCCACAAGCTCACCCTCACTGGGCTTGGGGCCAGGATTTATTCTACTCACGTGGCTTAAAAAACCACAAGCAGAAAACTGACCCACCATTGGTAGTGGCCCCTGGCAGCAGCATACATTAATTCTCTTTGAAGAAACACCCTCTAAAGCCAGGCCTCGAAGACTTCCTACAGAAAACAAGTTCCAAGAAATGTGGGTGCACAGTAAAAAAAAGTCGAAACACACAAGGAAACAAGCTCCTCTGAGCAAGAGCAGAAACAGCTACTAATCAGACCTGCAAATGCGGGGGTTATCAGAGAAAGACTATAAAATAAGTATGCACGTCTGTTCAAAATGTAGAAGTGGGTACCAAACGTACGACAGTGGAAAATGAGATTGTGAGAAATTACCAGGATGATCTGGGAAAGAATCAAATAATATATCTAGAAACGGGAAGTATAATAGTTGAAATTAGAAACTTAATTAACGGGTAAGACATAAGATGAGACACAGCCAAGAAGAGAATTAGTAAAGTGGACGAAGGATAGGAATGCCTTTCCCAGAAGACAGCAGAGAGAGACAAAGAAATGGAAAATATAAAAGATTAAGAAACGTGGAGGGTAAAATGAGAGGATCTAACATGTGTTTAATCAGAGTTCCAGAAGGAGGTACTAGAGAGATTAATGGAGAGGCAAATTCAAAGAGAAAAGAGCCGAGAGTTTTCCAGAACTGTGAAAAATTCCAAAACTCAGATCCGGAAAACTCAACGAATCCCAAGCAGGATAAATAAAAAGAGGTCTCCACATAAACACAGCATACAGAGACTACAGAATATCACAGACTTTGAGAAAATCTTAAGCAGCCAGAGATAAAAGAGAGATTGCGTCAAATAGACTGATGGCGGGGTTCTCAAAGAAAACCGGAAGCCACAGCATAACACCCTCAAAAAGCCGAGAGAAGACAGCTGTCACCTGAGAATTCATAACCTCTGAAACTGTTTTTCAAGAATGAGAGCAAAATAAAGACATTTTCAGACAAACAAAAACTGTTGGAGTTTACAGCCAAAGCCCTTGCTAAAGGAAGTCCTAAAGAATAAACTTCAGGAGGAAAGGAAAATGAGCCCAGCAGGAAGGTCTGAGATGCAAGAAAGAACGGTGAGCAAAAAAGAAACAGTGGGTAAATTTAAACAAACATTGACGATTTAAAATGCTTAATTTGTGGGGTTAAAACAAACCAACAAGAAAGATGCAAAATCCGGGGCAAGCAGACTGGCCGCATTTTCAGGTCTTGGATCTGTGTGGGAGCAGGGTGAACACAGAACTCAGCGATGACAATTAGAGCCTAAATGTGCATGTTAAATTTTCTAGGGTAATTACACCAGACTAGAAATAGCAATGTATTATAACTTCCAAATTAATAGGGGGAAAATGGAATGAGGGGGTGAAAAAGCTTCAACTGATAAAATTGAAAGAAGGGAGGAAGAAAGGCGAAGGAAGACAGGAGGGAGGGAGGGAGGGAGGAGGGGGAATCTGGGGACCAGAGAGCAAGTTAGAGGTAAAGTGAGGACGAGGGTGCCCTTTCCCCAAAACCACGCCGTCTCCCCCAGTCTGCACAGGGGTTATCGGAGCAGGAAGCCACTGTGCTTTCCCAACCACAGCAGAAAGGTGTCTGACAAGAAATCCTTTGATCAACAGACACAGAGAGTAATAACGATTGTCTCTGTGACAAAAGTCATTAACGTATGCACGGCAATTTACACTGTGGGCCGCTCCGTGTATAACTCATTTGATGCTCACAATGACCTATGAGGTGGATGACGGTAACGTGCTTGTTGTGCAGATACAGCACCCACGGCCAAGGAACATGAAGTGACTCTCCAAGGTCACCCAGCTGGGAGGTGGCACTGTAGGGATTTGAAGGCAGACCGTGTGGCTGCCCTGCCTCGGTCGTCACAGTTGGACGCAGGGCCCGGCCTACAAACATCCAGGTACAGGGACAGGACTGTGGAAGTGGGCAGTGTACCGGAATGATCCTAATTAGAGCCTGCATCTAAAACAAGAAATAAGACAGCTATGAAGGACAGCTTTGAGTGACTAGGGAAATTTGCATATGGGCTCTATGTTAGATGATATTATTGCGATAAGATTGAGTGTCTTAGTGGGATCGTGGTAGCACGGCCGTGCAGGAGGATGGCCTCGCTCTTAGGAGACAGATGATAAAGCGTGTGCAGTGGAAGTGTCATGATGTCGCAACTTTCAAATGTTTCAGAGAAAGAAGTATAAAAGGAACAATAAAGCAAACATGGCAAACGTTAATAATAGGTCAATCTAGGTAAAGGATAAACAAGCATTTATTGTCATATCTGTTGTTTGTGTTAACAAATCATCCCTGAATTTAGAACAGCAGCCGTTTATGATTTCTTGCAAGCCCCGGGCTGGGTGGGTCATGAGTCTGTCTTCAGCTGGTGGGTGGGCTGCAGCCAGGCTGATCTGGGGTGACCACGGTTTGCACAGCTCAGCTGTCCCCCACGAGTCTCCCATCCCGAGGGCGGGCTGGCCTGGGCGTGTCCTCATGGCGGGGTCCAAAGCAGGAAGAGGAAAAGGAACACACGTGCTTTCAAGCTTCTGCTTGCCTCAGTGATGCTGCTGTCCTTCTGTCAAAGCAAGTCACAGGGCCAAGGCCAGGCTCAGTGCAGGGAGACGCTTCCAAAGAAGGTGACACAGGGGGCAAGTGTCGTTAATGCAATCAATTTATCACAATTGTATGCAATCTTAACTTTTTAATAAACTTGAAATCTTTCAAAATAAAAAGAGGGCTATATTAGGGTACTCCAGAGAAACAGACCAATAGGAGATATATATATATATACACATAAAGAGCGAGCGAGAGAGATAGATATGAAAGAGAGAGAGAGAAAGAAATTTATTATAAGGAATTGGCTCACATCATTGTAGAGGCTTGAGAAGCCCCAAGATCTGCTCCCAGTAAGATGGAGACCCAGGAGAGCTCACGGTGCAGTTCCGGTCCAAAAGCCGGCAGGCTCGAGATCCAGGAAGACCTAACGTTTCAGTTCGAATCAAAGGTGAAAAAGAGCCCATGTGCCAACTCAAGGCAGTCAGGCAGGAGGAGTCCCCCCTTACTTGCAGGAGGGTCCGTGTTTTTTTCTATTCAGGCCTTCACCTTATTGGATGAGGCCCACCACACTGGGGAGGGCACTTTGCTTTACTCAGTCTTCCAATTCAAACGTTAATGTCATCCTGAACACCCTCACAGACGCACCCAGAATAATGTTTGACCAAATATCTGGGCACCCCATGACCTAGTCAAAATTCACCCTAGTCATAAAATTCACCATCACAAGGGACAGAAGAAAAAAACCAATCTAATCATGTCACTCCTCTACTCAAAACTCTTCCCTACGTCCACTAAAAGGTGTTTACAAGAACGTTTGCTGCAGCTTTACTAGTCAAAGCCCCAAACTTGAAGCAACCATGATGTCCGTCAACGTCATCATGGATAGGTAAACCATGATATATTCCTAACACGGAATAGTAAACAGCAATGAAAAAGACTGAACTGGGACACGCAACAGCACGGATAGATCTTATTTACGAGCAAAAGAAGGGAAAACTCAAAAGCCTGCACACTGTAGATCTCCAATTATACGACATTCAAGAAGAAAGAAACGCATCTAAGTGGTTGTCTTGGGGAGCCTTTATTGGGAAGGGCCATGAGGGAATGTCCTGGGGTGCCATAAATGTGCTGTATCTTGATCTGGGTGGTGTTTCCATGGATATGATCATGTAAAAAAATTTATTAAATTGTACTCTTAAGACTTGAGCGCTGGGGCCGCCCCATGGCCATGTGGTTAAGTCCACGCGCTCTGCTTCGTGCTCGCCAGTTTGGGTCCTGGGCGCAGACCTAGCACTGCTCATCCAGCCATGTTGAGGCGGCGTCCCACATACTAGAACTGGAAGGACCTACGACTGGGATATACAACTATGTACTAGGGGGCTTTGGGGAGGGAAAAAAAACAAAAATCGGGAAGACTGGCAACAGATGTTAGCTCAGGGCCAATCTTTAAAAAAAAGAAAAGACTTAAGCTCTTTGTAAATTCGATCTCGAAAGGATGGAAACACACACACATAACATCTCTTAAAACTTGGGTTCGCCACACCCCTGCGTAAGACCCAAACTCCTGAATGCTCAATTCAATTTAATTTAGTTGAGCACATGTTTATTCTCTCTCTCCAAAGTGCCGGGTTTAGCAAGCAGGGCGGCCTGCTAACCTCTCGCTGCCTCGCGTAGGTACTTGATAAATGTGCGTGAATCCATGTGGGGACCTCCAGGGATGGGGACCTCAAGCGTACTGGGGCATCAGATGGGCTGTGGGTGGCGTCTCTGGTTCCTGGCTCCTTCCAGGCCCACTTTGGTGACTGCGCAGTCACTCCATCTCGCAGGGGTGGCTCCCGTCCCCCTCCTCCACCCAGGCCCGCGGGAGCCAACCCTGCCCCTCACTGCCGCACACTTTACAGCCATTGTCAAACATAATGATTCTTACCCTGGAGAGAAATTGGGTTCCATTTTATATTTTATTGCCTCAAAAAGGACGTTTCTTACCTTCACACAGTCTGCAGCCAGCAGGAAAAGGACGATAAATCTCAGCCAAGATTTCCACAGAGATAGATGCTCCAGCAAGGAGACCGCAGTGTCCCAGGCGGGGAGAATAAACAAGCAGTTTGTTTCTGCCTTGCCGCCCCACAAATGTGGGGACAGGTGCCCTGTCCCCAACACCACCTGGCAGCCTCAGGGCTGAACACAGAATGGGGGAGGGGCTGTGGCTCCAGATCCCCAAGAGAGAGCCAGGTGGAAAGAACGGCCTGAGCTTCAGAACTTGCGCCTCCTCCTGCCCTCCCATCCGCATTCGGCAAAAGCTTTCTTCCCCGGGAGAGGACGCAGATGGTTTGCCAGGCACTCATCGCGTGCCGGCCATGTGCTTTATCACGTGTGGTTTTCAGAGCCCCGGGCTGTGGGTGTGTGTGTTGTCCCATTTTACAGAGGAAGGGACTGAGCTTCACGGAGGTAGGCATGCAGCTGGGGAGGAGCGAACTGAAATTTGAACACGGGTCTTCTGGGAATCCAGTCAATGCTCCAGGGGTTCCCCTCGGCTCCTGAGGAGCTGGCCGGGGAGACCAGAGAGACGCTGGGGCGGATGGCAAGCAGGAACCCAGGGCCACGGCTGGGACAGACTCCTCTGCTGAAGGCCCGCCCTGGGAGTTGCCCTGAAGCGCGGCCACTGTAGTCACTTTCCCTCAGTCGCTGTGTGACTTGGACAAACCTGTTAGCATCCCCAGAGAGGTTGCTGTCTTGCACACAGTCACACAGTGAAAGGCAGAATCAGGACAAGAACTCAAGCCCTGTGACTCCTAGCCCAGGGCCTTTCTTTTCTTTTTCCCAATTTTTTTATTGTGGTAAAATACACATAACATAAAATTTACCATTGTAACCATTTTTAACTGTACAGTTCAGTGGTATCAAATACATTCATAATGTGCAACCAGCAGCACCGCCCACCTCCAGAACGCTTCATCTTGCAAAACTGAAACTCTGTCCCCACCAAGCAATAACTCTCCTTGTCCCCCGCCTCAGCCCCCAGCAACCACCAGTCTACTTTCTGTCTCTATGAATTTGACTTCTCGGGGTACCTCAGATAAGTGAAATCATACTGTATTTTTTCTTTTTTGATTGGCTTATTTCACTTAGCATACTGTCCTCAAGGTTCATTCACCTTGTCCCATGTGTCAGAATGTCCTTACTTTTTAAGACTGAATAATATTCCATTGCATGTATAGACCACATTTGCTCACCCTCTCATCCATCCAAGGATGCTTGGGCTGTGCCTGCGTTTGAGCTGTCGTGAATAAGGATGCTGTGAACGTGGATGTACAGACATCTCTTCCAGACCCACCGTCTTTCTTCTTCCCCATCATCCTGTCTCACGGACTGTCTAACAAATATCTACTGTTGTTCCTTTCTAACACATTTGAAAGTGTGTAGTTTAACCATTGGTTATTTAATAACATCGCGGAGTTGTAAAATCTAGCACAAAATAAGCCAGTCACACAATACCACATATTGCACAATCCCGTTTCCAAGAAATGTGAAGCACAAGCCAATCCTGAGAGACAGAAGGCAGATTGACGGTAGAGTGGGGAGCAACTGCTAACGGATACTCTTCTGGGGTAATGGAAACCTTCCAAAATTGATTGTGGTGAGGGTTGCACAACTCTGTGACTATACTAAAAAACATTGATATTTTAAATAGGTGGATTTTATAGTATGTGACTTATGTCTCAATAAAGCTTAAAAACGTCTGTTAGTCTCTCTCAGCCCCAGTTTCCTTGTCTGGAAACGTGATCGTGAGAGCTGCCTCGTGCTGCTGTTATGAGGCTGAATTAACACTTGAAAACCTCCCAACCAGATGCCCAGCCCACAGGAGAAGCGCCCCAGCCTGCTTTAAGCATGATGTTCTCAAGAGCACCAACCTCTCAAGAGGCTTGAGAGGGATGGGGTGGGGAACATCGACAGAGGGTGGTCGAGAAAATTCTGTCTGAGGAGGTGACATCTGAGCAGAGACCTGAAGGAAGGAGTGAGCCATGCAGCTATCTAGAGGAAGAGCATTCCAGGCTGAGGACACAACAAGAGCAAAGGCCCTGAGGCAGGAGCATACTAGTTGATTTCAAGGGATAGCCAGTGTGGCTGGCGGGCGGGAGCGGGAGGGTAGAACAAAGGAGGAGTTCAGAGAGTAGCAGCGGAGCAGATTGTGTGGGACTATGGGCTGCGGAGGGACCTGGCAGGGCTGTGAGCTGAGAAGGGACATGACCGACTATGGTTTTAGCAGGACCCCTCGGGCTGCTGGTAAACAATAAACTGGCAGGGGCAAGGGTGTCATCAGGGAGACCATTTAGGGGGCCACAGCTACCCTCCACACAAGACTCGATGGTGGCTCTGACCAGGGCAGGGCGGTGGGGATGGGAAGAAGTTTCTGGCTTCTGGTTATTCTTTAAAGTCAGAGCCGACAGAATTTCTTGAGACGGTGTGGGTGTGAGAGAGAGGCAGCAAGAACTACTCCAGGGTTCTAGAGCTGAGCCGCTAGGCAGTTAGGGGAGCCATTCACCAAGGCAGGTGGGACGAGGTGGGGTGAAGGAGAGGGGTTTGGATCTGCTAAGGCGGGGAAGCCTGTTGGGAACCCTCAGGATGGCGCAGGATGTAGGAGAGCTCCAGGGTCCCTGATCCACGCTCCCAGGGTGTGGAGGGCCCAGCCTGACCATCAAAAGCCCTCCCCAAAATGGACAGGCGTAAGTGGGGAAACCCCTCTGTCCTTCCCCCCGTCGGGAGGAGGCAGTGTGACCATGCTCAGAAGGAAGATACAGATGATCGCTGAGCAGGAGGCCGGAGCAAGACCTTGTCACACCCGCTCTGAGGCTGGGCCTCTCCTGAGAAGTTTCTGAGAGGTTCCCCAGAGGCAGCCTGGCTGGGACAGAGACCATTGCTGGGCAGATGAGGTGGACAAAGGCCTCGAGGAGCCAGCAGCTGGAGCTGGGCTCTTCCACTTCTTGGCTGCCAGGAGCGAGGTACCAAGTGCATGCTTTCCAAGGATGCCCTGGAGCTGGGAACGGACCCTGCCGAGGCTGAGAAGAAGGATCCCCAGAGGCTGCTTGCTCGGTCCCGGGTGGGGCTGGAGGAAGAGGAGACCAGCCTGTGTCCAGCTGGACACAGCACGGGAGGCAGCCGCAGCTGAGGAGGAGCAGAAAGTGGGTCAGCAGCCCGGGAAGATGGAGCAGCGGCCCCCTGCCCACTTCATCAGCCACGACCCGCGTAGCTGGCCCACAGTCGGGCCGAGACCGCCCCTCCACCCCGGGCCCTTGCAGAGATCAGAAATGCTGAGATGTACCCGGACGGAGACCTGGAGTCTGTCCCTCCGCAGGGTGGCCAGCCTATTCCTTGGCTTCGAGGGCATTCACACATGCATTCGGTCAACACATGTTTCTTGAGTGCCTACCAGATCCCGGCCACTACAGAGCCTTGGGATACCTCTGTGAACAAAACAGACAAAAGTACATCCCAATGGCGGGGGCGAGGCACTCAGAGACAGACGAGAACCAAAGGAAACAGAGAGAGGAAGTAAATTAGATGGTGTGTTAGAAAAGAATGTGGGCCGTGTAGGAAAACCAAAAGAAAAAGCAGAGCAGAGTTGGAGGGTTGGGAGTGGGGTGAGCGGTTGTCATTTTAAACAGTGAGGACAGAGGGGGCTCTTTGAGAAGGTGACATTGGAAGAAAGACTTGGAGGCGGTAAGGAGTGACGCCCCGGCCCAGGGGTGCCCCTTAACTTTTGCCTCCTTCTCCTCTCTTCCTGGCCCTCCCCAGGGACCCCCATTTTCCTCCCCCTTATCCTTTCCCACCTCCTACTCCCTCCTCTCTCTCCCCCTTTCCCTCCCTCCTTCCCCCTCAGAGAGGCCGGGTGTAATCATGATGAAAGATGGGGAGTGGGGAGAGCAGAGAGAAAAGGACGGTGGAGAGGAGCCCCGCCCTCTCATAACGCCCCCAGCCTGGGAAACGGGGCTCCCAGGGGAAGGGGAATGGGGAAGGGGCTGGAGCAGCAGTGGGTCCCTGAGGGGTGCCTGTCCCCCAGGGGGACCACAGGACCAGAGAGGCTTCCAAAGACGTAAGAAATATGGTTTGTGGGGAAGGGGAGACATATGGCTTACCGCCTCCATAGCAGGGCCAGTTAGAAAACTGGAAATTAGGTCACGGTCTCTGTAGCCAGAGCCGGTGTCTACAGCTGAGCCAGGTCTGCCCTGGGGCTTTGTTTCAGGCTGCCAGAGAGACAGGGAAACTGCTGCCAAGTTCTGGTAACTTCCCACAACCTCCCCTCCACATCCACGCCCTCCCATCAGGATACGGTACCCACCAAGTCTGAAGGTGGGGGCGAGGGGAGGACATAGGGCATTGTTTATGGGGTGAGGGAGGCAGCCCGTGGCAGCTGTGCCCTTCCCTCAGTGTCCTCCAGCTTCACTGTTCCACATGGCCACACACCTTGGCACTGCAGGCCAAACCTCAAAAATCCTAAATTCTACATTTTCTATACAAAACGGGAGGGGGTGTTGGCCAACACCTTCCACGTTTCCTGCCTGGAAACAGCACCCAAGGAGGTGTGGATGGTTTAAGGAGGAGTCCTGGCTCCCCCAGAGGAAGGTCACCAGTTGACAGGCCCTGGGCCATGGCCACTCCCAGGAGGAGTGAACGGGTGAGAGGAAAGCTTGACAGTCCCCTTCCGTACATCTGGAGGACTGACAGGATTTTGACTCTTCAAGAAACCTACAGCCGCTGGACAGCCCACTGGCCGGGTCTCACCCCCGACCAACCTTGACTCACCTGGGCAGGGGCAGGACCACTGAAAGGAGGCTGGAAGCCCCTAAGCCTCCCTGAGGCTCTCTGCCAAGTGCAAGGTCCAGTTTGCTGTGGCTGCTTCCCCGGGGTCTCCAGAGGCCCCACTGCCCCTGGCAGGACCCCCACCCCCACCCCCACACACCCCAGCACTTCCCTAGACAGAAAGCAGGTGGCAGAGGGAGAAGCTGGGGCTGGAGGCGATTTCAACAAGTCGACTGCCTCAGTGGATGGGGCACCCCTGTGGACAGGTGTCTCGGCCTGGGGAGAGGCCGGGGGTGGGCCCAGGAAGAACAGAAAGAGAGGATACTGAGGGGGCTCAGAGCCCCACAGCAGCAGCCTGGGCTGCTGTCTCCACCGATGTTCTCACCACCTCCACACGCTGACCTGGAGCTGGAGGACCTCACGGGGGCGGTGAGCAGGGAAGCAGAGACCCTGGCAGCCAGCAAGCAGGGTCGTGGTAGGTGGGCTGTGTCCTTGGGGAGCTGGGAACGAAGAGAATCATCACTGTGGCAACCGCGTTCTTCCTGCTGGAGGAAAGAGGCCTGGATCAGGCACCGTTGTCACTACGCTCCATCCTGAGCAAGAGGCAGGGGGCTGGAGGGGGAAGGAGGGGGCAGCTGACAGGTGATCTGCAGCAGAGGAGACCAGGCCCTGTCCAGCTACAGGGGACACACTCCAGAGAGACAGGACATTGCCCACCTCCAGAGGGTGACGGCATGGTGGCCACACCCAGCTGGGCAGTTAAGTTTCGCAAGAAGCCTGATGGGACCCTGGCAGTTTCTCTGCCAGGAAGGAAGACTGGGATGGAGGGAGCCAGGTTTCCTGAGCACCTCCTGTGGCAGGTGCCTAAGTTCTTCCATACTTCAGCCTCGTTTCCTCCCCATCACGATCCCGCCAGCTCTGGACCACAATCCTCATCTCGCAGATGAGAAAAGTGAAGCACAGACAAGTAAAGTGCATTGTCCAAAGCCATAGAACGCTGAAAGAAGGGCTTTGACAGTTCAGGAAAAAGGAATTTGATGGGAGAAAGAACTAGGATATGGACCAAATGGGACTGTGAAGGGTAGGCAAATGATTATGCCAAATGGCGGAGGGGGTTGGGCAGGACTAAAAGGGCAGATGGGGCAGGGCCACGTGATGAGGGAGTCAGCAAGAGCGGCAGAGGACGCGGTGCCCTACGGAAAGAGATGTACGTCATGGGTCCTGTGCATGCCAGGTGCGTCCAGGCAAATTGCTCGTTGCTTCCTGAGCGTAGAGTGTAGAGTGGCTATTGGGTGTTGTGTGTAGTCATGATGGCTGTCAAGTAGGGTGTGTTGAATGGCATGAATATTGAGTGGCTTAAGCTTTCCGTGCCTCTCCCTATTCATCAGCAAAAGGAAGATAATCGTACTCACTTTCTAGATGTGTTGTAAGGATTAAATTAGTTTATTTCTGGGAAGGTCTTAGAACAGTGCCTAACACTGTAAGTGCCCAGTTAACATTAGCTATTATCGTATTATTATAAAGTTCTGTATGTTTTGCAATGGATGCACTGCATGATGTGTGCCCTGTACGTGGTGTGTGTGTGTTCTCCATGGGGAAGAGCAGGTGATGTGTGTGTGCACACATTGTATGTGGGTTACATGTTGTGTCTGTGTGTACGCATGTTGCACAGTGTGTGTTGCACGGGTGTGGAGTGCATGGGTTTGGTGGGTGTGTAGTATGGGGTGTGTGCATATTGTGTGTTGCCTATGGTGTGGTTTGTGTATTGCGTGAGTTGGGTGGTTTGTGGGTCTCGTAAGGTACTTGCATGTTCTGCCCTTTAATTAGTTCATGTTGCAGAAAAACCAACCCAGAGGACCCTAGGCCTTCCAATGCCCAGTTTCCAAAGGGGAGTTGCCCCACCCTGGGGAAAGGGGCAGAGAAAGGAGGGAAGGGGCTGAACAGCTCTAGCTGCCCACCGCCTGCCAGGCCCCCTGCACCCCGCTTCTAGCCCTCCTGGACCTCCTGACTGGGTCAGGCCTCTCCCAGGCCTTCAAGACTGGAGCACGCCCTGGAGACTCAAAGGAAAATATCACGGGCTCAGCTGGAGGGATGATGAACAGGGAGAAGGGCTGGTTGTGATGGCTGTAATGAGTGAGCAGCCCTGCCAAAAGGCCGGGACTGGAGCCACGCAGGGGAGAGCCAGGCCAAGTTACCGGCTGCCCAGGGAACAGGCACGAGGACCCTGCTGCTTCCTCTGGCAGGACAGGCAAGGAGAGGGGAGCTCTCCAACCATTGGATAGTTTAGGGGTGAGCCAGGCCTGGAGCCAAGGTTGGGCTGGAAGACAGAGACGTCCTAGAGAACGGCCGTGGGGTCAAGCCACTCACCCTCTCCCGGCCGCCAGGATCACACGATAAGAAATGATTTCCTCCTCCCTACCTCCCCGGGCAAACCAAAACCACTTGAGACTCTGCAAAAGGAAGGTGCCATAAGCATCTTAGACAGATCAGACCCACAGGTCGTGCCCACCTTCTACACGGCAGCCAGACCCAACTGCCTGCACACAGCCAACACTCCGGGCTCTGGCCTCAGGCCCTTGCACATGTCTCTCCCTCTGCCAGGTATCTCTCCCCTCCTCACACCACCACCAGCTCCAGCTCATCCTTCAGGTCTCAGCTGAAAAACCGCCTGAGTTGGAAGCTTTCCAAAAACCTCATTGTCCCAGCTGGGGTGGCCCCTCCTGTGGCCCCACGGACACCTGACTCTTCCCCTCTTGCAGCACACACAACCACATGTCATAATTGCCTGTGTACCTGTGGGATCCTTGAAAAAAGGAACCATCACTTATTACTTTCTTTATCTCCGATGCCTGGCAGAGTGCCTGGAACACGGAGCCCTCAATAAATGTTGGCTCGGTGAATGGAGGGGTTTTTGAGTAGATGGATAGGTGGGTGGACGGGTAAAGTCCTGAACTTTTGCAATGTGGAAAATATGCTTTCAACTTACGCTGATGGCAAATCTTCCAGGGTTTGTATAATTCCCAAGATGACGTTACCAAAATATGACACTGAGTTCCTCTTCCCCACAGGCACCAGACAAAGCTAGAGTCAAAAAGGCAGAGGGAAGGATTAGCACTTTGGAGCTGGGAATTTACAAGCCATAATTCAGTGCCTTGAGCTGCAGGGAGCAACGGCCAGAGTAGAAGAGGGAGCCATGCAGTGCAGCCTCAAACCAGCCAGTCCTCCGGCACAGGGCCTAGTGGGTAGGAGGTTCCGGAAGGGAGTTGCCCACCCTGCCCAACACCACCCATAGACCTTGGGCCTAAGGCCAGGACATGCCACCCTTCGAAGTCAGCAGAATTAACATCTCACAACCGAAAACAGGCAGATGCACCATCTTCAGAGATGGTGGGTCAGGGTTGCAGGAAAGAAAGGAGGCCTGGCATCTCCTGTGTCCAGAGGGCAGAGTGGCTCTCAGCTGAGGTGCAAATCTCAAAGCTTCCCCAAGGGATTGGAGAGTCAAGTCTAACCAACCATGCTACGACCTGCCTGTTGTGTGCAAAGAGTGTTCCTCCTGTGCTGTCCTGGAGAGAGGGAGGGACACTGTCTGACAGCATGAGCTTCCTGGCTGCTTAGAAGCAGTGGGCCCTGCTGTGGGCAGGGCTTGTACCCCAGACAACTCTCAGGGCCTGACTCTGCCAGTTCCACTCTCAGCCACAACCTCTGGGGAATACACAGTCCAGGTGTCCTAGATGGTGGGTGGGTAGGAGTCAGGGTCATTGGAAGGGCTTCTCCTCACTATAAACTGATCAAACTGATCACTTGGTTTATCAGGTAGGAATAACACTCAGCTACAAGTATCAGATCACTATGAACTAGTGGCTCAAACACACAAGGGTTTAAACTCTCATGCGCAAAAATCTAGATGTAGGCAATACAAGGCTTGTAGGGTCTGTCCATGAAGTCGTCAGAGACCCAGGATCTTTCTCTATTTCTTCAAGGTCACCTCTTAGTCCAATATGGCTGCTGGTGCTCCATCTATAGCAACTACATTCTAGGCAGAAGAAAGGAGAAAAGAGACAAAAGGGACAGCCCCTCTCTTCTAAAGAGACTTCCTAGAAGTCTAATATATCACTTATGCTTACTTTTCATTGGTCATAACTTAGTCACATGGACACATCCACGTCTGGGGACTTTGATTGGTGTAAGTTCTCTTGAGAGCCTTGGGTGAACTGAGAACATGGAGTATTTGAACTTTTAAGTCTGATTGCAGAGCCTGGACCCCCAGGAGTCCCAGCCTCAGCCGTCAGTGGGCTTCTATCTTTGCCAAAATTACCCAGCTAATAAGTGAAATAGTCAAGATTGACACCAGCACTGCCTGTCTTTGCAGCTCCTGCTCTTAATTGCTATGCCACACTGTTGCCTTGAGTTCCAGCTCTGCCTTCACCCCCTTACTAGCCATGTGACCCTAGGCAAGTCTTCAGAGCCTTGATTTCTGTACCTATAAAATTGGGATAATAATAACACCCACATCAAATGGCTGACTTGTGGAGCAAGACAGATAATGCATGTAGATAGAGGATCAAGATCAAACGGAGCAGATCAAGAAAAGGACCTAAATCTGTTTAATGCTAGAGCTGAATTCACGAGAAAGGTGCTGGACCTTGCTGGCACCTGGATGTTCTCACAGATCTTATTGATGGAAGAGGCCATTCTGCAGTAAGTGAGAAGACAGCAACCAGGGGCTCCTGGAAAAGTCCGTTCTATAGCCCAGGGAAGGGAGCAGTTGCTCAAAGTTCTTGTCTCCAAGATATCCATGGAGGGTCTGATGGAGTTCCCTCCCCTTCCTCTGTCTCTGGCCCAAAGCCCTTGGCCCTATGACTGTCAGTTGGTCCAGAGAGGAGCAGACTGCAGAAGGAGGCTGCCCATTGCCATGGAAACGAAGGCCAGAGCCCAGCACCCTGCAACTCCCAGACACATAGCGGATGTGCCGCCTCTGGGTTCCAAGTCCCCAGACAGCCCTCCCACCCAGCACGCACACACGCACGTGCACACACACACACACACAGACTCCCAGCAACCAGCTGGCTAACCCAGTGGACTAGCAGCCATTCAACTGGGCTGTGCCAGGGGACC